TTTTTTTGTTTTTAGTGCTTTTTTTTTTGCTTTTAGTGCTTTTTTTTAAAGGAACGCGCAATTTTTCCCTGTACCAAAGCCGAAACTAAATAAACAACTTTTCTTCCTAATAAAAAATGGAATGTCGGATGGTGAATCATACTCCCGGAAATAGCTTTTCCCCCTTTCTCTGCATTAACATAACCTTTGGTGTACGCGGAGAGTACAGACAGGTGCCCATCGTTCTGTTGGTCAAAGAATTGCAAAAGCAGTAGAAAATTCTGGTACATTCGGCATTCTTTTCCTCCCACCCAAATACTACACACGTTTGAATTTCTATCAAGATCTTAATAATTTGCATTCTCGTTCCACTTGGTCAGTTCATATTCGTGTTTATTATGATCGTTATGCCTATATTATGAGCATATGTATGAATGTTTATAATAACATAGTTGCAGTAACTGCTGAAGTATTGTAAACTTCCAAAAATGGTTGTGTTTTAACACAGATTAGCTTTCTAATTAATAATATTCGGAATGGCTTAAATAAAGGGAAAGTAATCGAATAGTCAAAATAATTCCATTTTTTTGGCCAATACATTATACAGTACGAAGGTTGGGAGGTTCTTCCATTTCTCCGCAAAATCTCGTTCAGTTCGCTGCAAAACAAGCAACGGACCTTTTTTTTTTTTTTTTTTTTTTTTTTTTTTTTTTTTTGTGTGTGTGTGTGTGTGTGACTTTCCAATATTGAATTGGACTAAAACACCCCAGATTGGTAAGTCTCTTTCTTTTCCTTTATTTAGTTCTTTATTCTCCCAATACCGGCAGCTGTTGAATCCGATTGCGTAATATCATGTAGGGAAGAATTACGGTGCACGTATTGCGCAATAACGTTTGCGATATTTTGCAGAGGTAATTAATTTTGATGTTGGTTTATTTTAGGAACACTTAAAAGAGTTTTACTGTGCTTGCTAAGCAGAATATTTTTCTGTTCCGTTGGTTTGTTTTTATATGATGCACATATCGAAATGTCAAAAGCATTATTTAGTGGAAAAATCTAAAGAGTGGCTACAGTCTATCCCCCCTCCACTCCTCTTTTTCAAGTTACGCTCGACTGTCTCCGAATATTCGCCAATTTCCAAGTATGCGGTTTAGTTAAGCTTTTACTGCTAAAGGATGACTGCATGAAGCAAATTTCTGTCTTCTGATTTCAGAAATGTTCCTGTGTTTTACTTAAATTACTTGGCTTGCAATATCTGTTAAGGGAAAACTGATATATGATGAAAATTTAGAAAATGTTCAGAATTTAGATTTAAATTAGTTAAATAATAATATGAGTGGAAAAATAAATTGTATTTATTATTAAGTTCCAAGCGAATAGAATAAATATGTCTTATTATTTTTTATTTCTTCTATTTTGAACTGAAATTTCATCATTAAATCTTGTAATATAGTTTAGTTCTGCATAGTTTTTTTTCTCTCACTGTAAACTAGTTCTGTAAATTGAACTGTTATTTAAAATTTTAAAAAAAGTAATTATTTTCCATGGTTGAGGTAATGCTTATTCTCTCTTAATAAATACTGCATTTCTCATATTTTAAATTACAAGTCTAATTTTTGAAGTTATGCAGTTGTGTATAATGTAATTAGACAGGTGTTTATTTTTTTTCTTAAAATGTGCTTGAAAATTGCTTATAGGTGCTTATTTTTTTAACTAAAATGTGGCTATGAACCCTGTGATGTAATTACATTCAACATTATTAGGAGAGCGTTGCGGACGCGCGCGCGCGCTAACTAAATGGTTGCGTCTCGCTAAATATAGTGAGGAATACTAGAAGCAAGCATATTAAAAGAAAATGAGACAACAAAAAAAAAAAAAAAAAAAAAAAAAAAAAACCTTCTAAATTGAAAAGCTAAAAAAACTTTAAAAACTATAAAAATAATAAATACGTTTTAAAAACCTAGGTTGCTGACTGGCTGCAAAAAAATTAAAATGCCTTAATCATTTCTGTTGTATATTCTCGACGTATATTAATTTGCATTATTTCATTGGTCCAATGTTAATTTGTATTATTTCATTGGTCCAAGGTTAATTTGTATTGGGTGTTAGGAAAGAGTTAAAATTTACAATGCTTCTCCATTTATTTCGTAAGAGGCGTTGGTATAAAAACAAGGCGCCTTTATACTATCGTTCTGCTTTTCATTTGAATATTCCTGCCAGGAGAGAGGACAACAGAGGGACTCTAGGCAAAGAGGTTGAAGGGAAAGATATATAGATTCTTTGCTCTAGGCATCACTTACAGGGACGAAAAACAAAGGCATTTACGGAGTACCTTAGTAATAAAATTACATGTTGGGTGGCAGAGGGACAGGGTCCTTTGACTTTTTCAGTGACGCCTGGAGTCCTTCTATTGTCCTCTCCCTGAACTTATCTTTAGAGTCATGTTCGGCTGTACTTAGCTTACTTTTAAAACTGTTTGCTCCATTAAAAGGTTTCGAGTAATTAATTATAAATATTCTTAAAAGATGTTAATGTTGCATCAAAATTTGACAACATTCCAAATACAATTCAACGCCATTCTTGAATTTGCTGCCCTCAGAAGTTGCCACCCAGGGCACAGACCCCGGCTTGCCCCCCCCAGATCCGGGGCTGAATTCACTGGATGATAATATTAATCCTGAAATACACCCATTATGTTTATGTTAATCATAATTCCATCACAGAAAAAAAAGATCGAGAAATTGTATAAAGGGCATGAAAAATTGTATTATATAAAAATCATTTTTCACGGGAATCATGCAGTGTTTTGATATAGAAGAAAGCTATTTTGTCTACATACTCATAACTTTTTTGAAAGGTGAGGACTTATTTAACAAGCAGATTTGGTTTTTCAATATCGCTAAGTTGTAGAAAACAAAATGAATAAATGGTTAGTCATAGTTATAAATAGCAATAGTAGGATATAATTTATCCAACTAGATGAATTTTCGTCTCTTTCAGGTTTTAATTTGTGACAACCAAGTGAAAACTTAAAAACATAACCATCATAAACATAAACTTAAAAGCATTTAAAGTCATAAGCAGGTATGCGATCTGTATGATGGTATAACAAGAGTAATTGAGGACAAGGTGTTTTCAAACTAGGATATAATACATTAAAATTGAGATGAATCTCAATTTTAATGATTGATGCTGATTATCAAAACTATACTGACAATATTGGTTGGCATAATAATTAGTGAATAAAACTACAAGTGGGTAAATTGAACTGTTGTGAATAAATTACACAATTTTATCTTTAAAGCATTTTTATGTGATGTTCTGTCAGTCATCCCAGATTTTAATAGTTATAGCAGTTGCCTAATGGTATCTAGTCTCATTCCTATTTATTGACATGACATGTCGGACATTTCTAACATCACTTGTCACTTGACTGGAAGATATCCTCAGGAAACCTAAATTCTGAGTATGCTTTTGAAGAATGTTCAAGTTTTCTTGCTGAGCAAAATTTCTAGATCTCTTTTTTTTTTTTCCCCATCAGTGTTACCTTTAAGTTACAACCTATTATATATATATATTATTGGTTGAACCCATTTGTTTTTCCATCAAAAGAGAATTAAGTATGAGCAGCAACCACATTTTTATTTTTAAACTCGGAAGGGGGGGGGGAACTAAGATTTTAATTTAATTAATTATTTTATTTTTAGTTTAGATATTTTTTTTTTAGTTCAACGGTTGTCCCAAAGAGCTCTTTTAAAAGACTAATATGGGAATGTCATACATCTTCTGTCTCTTTAAAAAGTGAAAAAATATGTAATATAATTCTGTAAAAGTATTTAAGATTTTTAATTATATATTTCAGGAATTAAATGCATTTTCATTTAAATCAATTAGATTAAAAGGTTAAAAATAATATCCTTAAGAATTGTATCTGTTGATTTTAGGTAGCTTAATTTGTAAATTAATAGCAGGGAGATTAAATTTGAGAGATGAATATATTACATTTTGCTGAATTGCAACAAACTCGAATGAAAAGTGAAACAACACAAAATCATATTTTGAGACTAAGAGCCCTTTTGAGCTTTAAAGAAAAAGGTCTGTAAGAGGTTAAGAATTAATCCATCATAAAGATTGGTGTTTTTTATGCTGAGGGACTATTGTGAAAATTTTCTACCTTCGTAAATGCTGACTAGACTGCATAAATGCATTTTCATGAAGCACAGTTATGTATCATTCTACTAGGGAACTTCTTTTCAGCCATCTGATAGTTAATGGAAATATATAATTATTGTGTGCTCTTGAACATTTCAGAATGCTTGACTGTATAGTTGTTATATAGTTGACTATATAGTCTGTATATCTGAAATTATTTTCAGAGTAATTTATCTAAATTAGACTGTAAATGCAATGTTACTCTTTTTATCTTAATTATCAAATGATACTTTTATATTTTTCTATTGTTTAAGTTATATTTTAGTAAATTGTTTTTAAAACTTTCTACTGCATTGTGTATTTCAAATGATACATGCATGAACTTATTTTCATTATGAATTTGTTAACAATTGAGATCTTTTTCAGCCAACTTATATATATCAATATAAAGCATATTTTTTGAAAAATTTTGAAGCTATATTTAGCACCTTTAAAATGCATAAGCATATTTATAAATTTTTAGCTGAAAGTTATTATTTACTGTTACTTTGTATGGCATTTGATTATGATTAGTTTTAAACAAAATACTGAAATTAAATGTAAGGTTTAAAAGTAAAATGATCTTATATCTGTAACAGAAGTGAGTATTTAATTTCAACCAGTTAAACCATCTGTGTACTGTTTTTCTTTTATCACTCAGAAGTATTTAAAACTAAATAATTCAAGTTTGATATTAATAATTTAATAACTAAATAATCGTATATTAATCTGAGCATGTCTATGTGGATAATGGTGCTGTTCAATAGATGTTGATTAATATGATTTACTGGTACTGTACTGTCTGTTTACCTAATTTTTTATTATTTTAGAATACTTAAGGTCTGGTGATATGGATAATGATGAAATTCTGCATCAAGATCTAAAAAATTTTGAGAGAACAAAAAATACTCAGTCAGTTGGTATGTAGAAACAAATAATTTTGTATTCATACAAACTGTATGGGAAAAAGTAATCCCTGAAGTTTTATAAACTATAATTTACAATATTGATTATTTATTATAGTTTAATTAATATACTTAAACAAAACTTAATATTTATAGTTATATATATATATATATATAATTATAAATTTTAAGTTTATTAACTAATTATATGTATATAGTTTTAATTAATAAACTTAAAAGAATAAATATCGTTAATAGTTTAATTATTTAACTGTATATATCTATTTTAATTGTATGTATTTGTATAAATGCTCATTAGTTAGCTTAGAAACAGGTTATGATTTTCTAACATTTCTCAGCACCAATCTGCTATTGAAATGTCAAGAGAAATGTCCTAACCCCTTTGTTTTTTTTATGAAACTTTGATTTTTAAATTTTTTAAGTTTTGTTTTATCATTTATTCAGTTCCCTTGAATGGTTTTAATCACTTTTATTTTTTAATATTGTTTCCTGCTTATATGGAATATGATTTTAAAATGTTCACTATTTTTTATATATATATAAGATAAAAGATATGTAAAGCAAACTTCTAATTTTAATTGGGAGTAGTCCGTTCAGCAAGTAAGATTTCAGTTGAAATCAGTACTTTTGGTGGGACCATAACCCAAGCATTACTGAATTCATTGCACTTTTCTGCTTTGCTTGCTCTGAGCTAAGGTGTTAGTCTTTCCTCTGCATTTGACTTAGAATATAGAAATCATACAAAAATGCATTGAAGAATGGGTGCAGATTGCGCTCATAATGCTGTGTCAAACAGAATGTTCTAAAGAACTGTTTTGTCCAGAAATAAAGTGTGTTGAATAGTTACAAAGGCTGTGTCTGACTGCAACTATGCGATTGTGCATTCTATGCACCAGCATTATCTACAACTATCAGTCATTAAAATTATTTGTATAACATACATGCATATATATATTACATATTTATAAGACAAACACTGCCATCTGTATTTATACAAAACATCTCTGTTTTGTGCTCTGTATTCTTTCTTTGTATTGTTTACTTTTGAGAGCCAAAATTTTTAAAGATTATTATTAGAATTATAAATATTTATTGGTTTGTATAGTTTTCATAGAATAAGCTGTTTTGGCAACTGTATATCTGCAGCAGTTATGTCAGCATTTGCTGTGTCATGAGATATAATTTTGCAAATTATTTTAGTATAATATTATATCTTTGTAAGCACACTGCAACAGGATTAAAATTTCTATGCCCAATATGCCTTAAATTGAAATATTTGCCTATCAAAAGAAAATTTTGAGTTCTGGTTCCTGCAGATTAATGATTCACAGCATTTCTGATGTTAAATATAGATTCAAATATAAAAATGATTTTTATGCTCAAATTTACATGAAGCTGTTCATTTCAGAATATACATAAACTTTGTAAATGAACTTTAAACACTATTTATTTTCACTTTGAGTTTGTCCAACTGCTGAGATCTTTGTATTGAGTCAAATTCTATTTAGTATATTTAAATAATTTATGTACCTTTAAAAATGCTAACTATTTAAATACATTTCAAATCAAAGAAAATGTATTTGAGACCCAAATTTATTTAAATATTTATTTAGCACATTGCTGTCAATTTATCCAATGGTTTTCCTGATTTCTTACTCTAAGAATTATTTTTTATACTGTTTGGTTTTGCAGTATTTTTATTTTTAAGTTCATGCCAAAGTAAATTATATGTTAGTGATTAATTACAATTTAAAAAAGAGACTTTTTGTTTTAGTTTATTGGACTTTTAAAAAACTTTAATTAATAATTTTAATAAATTTTTATTTGACATTTTCTTTTGAATTATTTCAAGAATTTATAATCATCAAGATATAATCCAGAAGTGTGGCTCTGCTGAAAATTCTTCAGCTGCTCTTTGAAAGAGACTAAGCAATTTTCAACAATTACATTTTTTTTATTACACTGTTTTATTGAACTGTTTTATTTTTGTTTCAGTTTGAATGCTTGTACTAGACTGTTAACCCTCCCTTTTATTTAATTATTTTTTCAATAATTTATAAACTTTAAATTTATGAAATTTCTAAATATATGTATGTATGTATTTCATAATTACAAAAAATTTATTACTTATGAATTTCAGGTTATTTTTGGGAAATTTTTGTGAAAAATTGGTTTTAAATTTGTACTTTATGTCTTTACTGATATGTATGTATGTATACGTACATTGCTGGACAAATGGTCCAGCCCTCTTAATGTTATGCTGCATTGCAATTGCATAATAAAATATTGTTGCCACACTGTTTGGACATTACAATAAAGGACATCTATTGTTCGGGAAAATACAAAAGGTTTTGAAATATACAACAACAACAACAAAAAAAAAAAAAAAAAAAAAAAGTGTTCTCTTCATGCTGTGCACAGAGAAACAGAAAAATGCACATGAATAATAGCAGGCATCTTTGAGAAAGATGTCAATATGGGATATGTCCACTGTGGAAGGCAATGCAACTTTTCACACATTGTGTAATGCTTTGTACAACATTATACAGCAGCGCTTAAGGCCCTCTTCTTTGTCAGTGCAGAGGTAAGGATGTTTTTATTTGTTGGAGGATATTTTTAACTAGCAAGTCATGTTCCCAGAGCATCCTAAACATTTTATTATCATGTTAAGATCTGCAGAACATGCTTGTCATACGAGATGCTGAATAACCTTGCTGTCTGGACAATCCTGAACACAAGTGTTCAATGGCATAGTGCATTATCATCCATAAAAAGAAATTTATCACAAAAAGCACCATGGAAAAGGCAAATATGAGACAGCAGAACTTCATCAATGTATTGTTGGCTGGTCATAGTCCCAGTTGCAATCACATGTAGGGGCATGAATCTATTGGTCATGATGCCAGCCCAAACCACAATATATCTTAGATATCAGTTCCTTTCCAGGATATTTCCTGGATGATAAGTAGTACCACTCTCACACCAGATCAGTTGGCATCTACAATTTGATGATAGGCTGAACCTACTCTCATCTGAGAATATTATGCAAGCCCACATTCACCACTTGCCGAGATGTGGTGTGCTGGTTTCTTTTTTGCTGATAGAGCAATATACTTGCAAGCATTATATATTTAACATGACTTATCCTGTGATGCTGGCTATATGTTTCAATTGTTTTAAATGCTTTCCATTGTACAGAATGAAGTAAGCCCAATACCTGTGCTTCCAAGTACACATATTAAGTATCACTGGGCCTTGCTAAGTTTTCACTCTGGCTGGAATTTCGAGGGAGCTGTGAAACAAGGTTGTGGGTGAACTTTGTGGCAACAACTCTTATTTTTCGATCTTTCCAATGATTTCATCATGCATAAAATCATTTAAGTCAGCAATTTTCAACTTTTTGACTAACTTGTACCATCTAAACCAAAATTGAAAAACTTTAGTACCACCACTACATATTATAATGATTGTCTTTCATGTTTCTTAATAGAAATATTAATATATATATATTGCCATTAGCACAACCTATTGTTTTTTCTATCAAATATGCATACATACAAAAAATATTAGATTAAAAATTGGTTACCATTTTAATAATCAAAATTTAAATTATAATACTTTAATTCTAAAATTTAGTTTGAAATTTGGGCCTGTTTAAGAGAGATTCAATTTCTTTATGTCTGGTTTTATTTCACTTAGTTTTAATCATAAATTAGGATTCATGTCTAATTTTCTTCTGTATTTAATTTTCAAATATAACATAGAAGAAAATCCTTGTTCACACAAATATGTTGTGCAAAAAGGCAATAAAAATTTAATAGCTTTATTTGAAATGCATTGGCTTTTTTTTTTTTTTTTTTTTTCTTTTTGGCTAGCCAAAACAAGTGTCTTGTTTTTGAAATCTTCAGTTAGAGTTTAATCACAGGAAACTTCTATCAATTGTTCTTTTTCTTCACCAGATAAAATATCAGGTACATTTGAATAAACTGGAGAATCTAATCCAATTTTCTTTTACATAATCCTTGAAAAAATGCATATTGAAGTTACATGTTACAATGAAGATTCATGATTTTTAATGTAGGATGCTAATTCTTCTTTTATTTTTAAATTATTTTTGATTAAAAACTTTCTAAAAGTGGTAAAAAGCTTAAAATAAAATTATCCAATTCTTTGATTATTACCTCGAGATTTTTTATCATTGTGTTTATTTTATCTTAAATGGTAAAAATATTAACACTTTGTTCTTGTAATTTTAAATTTAATTCATTTAACTTTCCAAAAGTATCAGCTAAATATGCTAAACACGTGAGCCATAACTCGCTAAATAAACATTTTTGCAACTCAAATTTTGAATCACAGAGGAAAATTTGAATTTCCGATAGAAGTTCAAAAAGATGATTCAAAACACTGTCTTTTGATAACCACCTTACTTCGGAATGTAACAAAAGCGTTTCATGTTCGCCCGTCTGTTGGTATAAAATCGTAAATACTTTTAATTTAAAGCTAAACTTTTAATAAAATTAATAATTTTCACTACTTGATTCAAAACTATTTTCAGGGTTTTGAGGATTGTTTTGGCTACTTAATTTAGTTTTAAGTGAAACTTTCTTTATCTGTGAAATAAAACTGGAATGTTTACCCATTAAAGCCTGAGCTACATCACTGCAGTTATTTCAAGGAATATCATTCTCAGACATAAAATTTTCAAGTAGTTTGAAAATTTTCAGTTGCTCTATCATGAAGAGATTCAGAAAATAAATACTCGTAGGGCCATTGGCTGCCCATGTACTTTCCTAGTATTGCCGCCCCCAAATTAAAAAAAAAAAAAAAAGCTTAATGTTTAGTAAAATTTTTATTTCATACTCACTAAATACTTACATATGACAAATGCTTACAATGAATTAAAAATATTTAGTCATGGTATCACGAGAGTCTGGTCGCCCGTGTACTTTTACGTGCTTCACTGCGTTAGGAACGGTCCTGACAATTCGTTT